GCAGAGGAGTGGCCAGGATCTTGGGGACAGATAGGCAGAGCTGGGGGCTCAGGCTGATGACGTAGTGACTATGTAGAGCCTGGGTCTTGTGAGTTGGCAACCAGGGACTGCTGGGTGCAGGAGTCAAGGGGGAGAACCTGGAGAGTGGCTGACGTGGGAACATCCTGTCCTATGACCTGTCCCCACTTCCCACTGCTTTTGGATTTCTTGAGACAGTGTTATATAGTCCAAGCTGGCCTTGAACTCATGATCCTCCTGCCTCAGCCTTGTCTCTGGGATTACAGGTGTATACCACTGTGCCTTTGCCTAACCAGGTGGATTTCCAGAGGATGTGGTGGGGTGTCCAGCAGGGACTGTATCTACAGGACCTGGGGTAAGACTGACTGTGGTGACTAGGGAGCTGGTCACCCTCACCAGCTGTGCTTCTCAGGGATGCTCCATGTAAGGTCTCAGAGCTCTTAGGTATGTGGCAGACAGAGTTCTTCGTACATGTACGCCTGTGTTTGCTCATGTGTGTGGATGTGCATGTACGTGTGGGGTGACATGTATGCTCACACATAGGTGCTCTGGCTGCACCCTCTGGTGGGGAGCTGGTGGCTGCAACCCCCCAGAGTATGCAAGTAGAGGAAAGGCAGCTTGGGCCTTGCTGGATACGGGTTCCGGGTACAGAGCCCTTTTGTGGGTCCCTTGGCTTTTTCTGGGACTGAGTCTCTGATGCAAGCAAAGTAGTCCAGGGCACAGACCAGGGCTTTATGGCCTTTACATTTCTGAAGACTCGTTTTAAGGAGACATGTCGTTACTCATAACGTGACTGCTAATGCGGAGTCATGCCGTGCCGACAGTGCTGTGTCCTCGACCTCCTCTCTTCCCTCAGGGAGGTGCTGCTTTTTCCATTCCAGTCTCAGTTTACCCATTATGGGCTAGGGGTGGTGCTGGTGAGGAGAGTTGGGGGTTCTGTGAAACACCTATGGGGGTCCCTTGCTTCCTCTGTTCATACTGTTACATCTGGAGAACTGTGAAGAAGTTAGGGAGTCTGTTCACATCCTCACATTTTTGATTCTTGCTGATTTGTATGGACACAGCTGGAGCTGCCTGATGCCCATTGCCACAGTAGACTTTCCCAAGCCTGCTCTCCTAGGCTGAGGCCCTCTCCGGCCTCAGTGCTGTCGAGGGCTTGGCTGATTTGCATCTGAGAGTGAGAGGAATTGAGTTGTACTCTTTCCTAGCCAGAGAGGCATGATTGGCAGAAAGCTTGTAGGTTGTTGTATGCCGCAGAGGTGCTTCTCAGCTTGCTTACAGGTAACACCTGGGGTCAGACTGGTGTTTTAGAATTCTATGTTAGAGACTGCAGGTTATGTGGGCCAGGTAGGGGCACAAAGGGCAGGGACACTGCACTACGGAGATGCTCTATCGTCCTGAGCTGGACGTGCAAGTGCCTGGGGCATTGGTGGGTGGCTCCATGGTCTGCTCCTGTGCATGCCTTTGGTTAGAGTTCTGCTGTGGTACTTTTTCTGTCAATTGTGCAAAGTAATTAGTCTCAGACTGGGAGTCTGGTTCAGAGGTAAAGAATTGGTTAGAGGGCATAAGGCTGGATTCCATCTCCCATGCCAGGTGCAGAAAACCAAGCAGCTATGGCGGAGCGTGTCTATAATCCTAGTGTGCTGGGAGGCTGAGGCAGGAGGATTGCAAGTTCTAATCCAGTTTATTTTTTTTAACAAGACACTGTCTAAAAATAAACAGGCTGGGGATCTATCATCAAGCAAAACAAAAATGAAAAAGATAAGGTTGTCGATTTCATCTTGGATAGTATAAGAAGTTACTGTAATTAGGGGCTGGAGATTTAGCTCAGCGGCATAAGCACCTGCCTTGCAAGCAGGCAGTCGTGAGTTCGATCCCTGGTACCGATAAAAAAGAAAAAGACAAAAAAAAAAAAAGTTACTGTAATTTCGACTGTGGCTTTTGTTTGGGTATCAAGGACTTGAGGTTCTTTTCTCACAGGCCTAGGTCTCCATTCGTGTAGAGCGGGGCAGGCCTGGGACCTTCTGTCTGCTGACTCAAAGAGCAACAACTTTTCTTTTCTTCTTCTGAGGCGGAGTAGTACCCTGGGGTGAGATCCTGGTGCAGGCTGCCAGGTTGTTCCTCTAGTTAGTTAGTACCTTGTGCCAAGGTCTCATGCTTGGAGATGCTGGTGGGGCAGAGGCTGCGTGGGGATGTCGGCTCCATGGGTGGTATGGGCATTGAGGCTGCTGCTCTTGGGGCTTTGGGGTGAGCCAGTGGTCTGTGCCTGCTCCTCAGCATACAGATGAGCGTTGGTGCCATGGCATTGCAGGGGCACCCTCGTCCAGCTGGATGCGGCTCTCTCCATAATGGGAAGAAGGGGGTCCTACGGGGACATTGCCCCTGGCCCTGTGCCTGCCTGGTGGATGAATGCACAGCAAGGGCCCAGGACCTCTTAGTTGAGAAAGGCTCTTCCCCTGGTGAAGTGGCCTCTGTATCAGGTAAGGTACTGCTGCTTTGAAGACACCGCAGTAGGACATGTGGAGGTTTTTGTGTTAGCATGAAGTGAACAAAAACCAGAAAGTGCAGCAGGGCTGCTGTAGGTGGGAGGGAGATTGGCCAGCCACATGGTGGCCTCGTGGGAGGCACTGAGGTGGGGTTGGAGCAGGCAGCTGTGGGAACCCGCTTCTGGTCCTGTGGGCTGCCTATGTGCCTTCGCATTTGGAGATTTTGGTCCTCTTCCTTGCAGACTCACCTGGTTTCACCAGACCTGGCTGCTCAGCTGGCCTTTCTTCAGCTTCCCCTGCAAGCATCATCCCAGGAAGACCCTGCAGGCTTGGCAGTCACTGGTCACACTTGAGAGTGTCTTTCGGGGAGATGGTGACCCAGGGGGCACCCAGGCAGTCCTTCTTGTGGCTGCCCTCTTTTGGGAGCTTCACCTGGGGCTTGCAGTCTGAATCGGTTGGCAGGAAGCACAGGTCCTCGTGTGTGAGTGGGGTACCTCTTGCAGAGTCCGGTTGCATTGTTGGGGTGACTTGGCTGTGCCGGACTGGCGCCACCTCTGAGAGGATGGCATGGTGCTCGGGACTTGGAAGTGGTGGCAGCTGGCCCACAGTGGGGTTTTTTTGGTGGCGCTGATGCGCATGGGTGCTCCCTTTGGCTGGCTGTCAAGGATTCCCTTGTTTGAAATTGGACATGATGAACACTTGGGACCCTCTGCCCCGTCCCGTGTAGGGTGCTCAGGTTTGACTCGTGCTCGAGGCATAGGTCTAGAGTGGGCAGTGCTGCCTGCGGTCACCAACACCTGGCTCGGGGCTGTGAGGAGTGTGGTGAGCAAGTGTGTCCAGGAGGCCGATCTGGGGCGTCTTGGCCTGCTGCTGCTGTCTTGACCTGTGGAGCATTCAGTGCCTTTCACGCAGCTTAATTCCTGGAGCATATGGGGGTAGGGCTGGGTGGAGGGTGTTTGAGAGCGGTTTGGGATGGGTTAGGTGCTCAGGCAGGAGCAGCCTGGGGATTCCTGCTGTACAGACTTCAACCCCAGAGGGTGAGAGTGATGCTTGTGGCTCTGTTGCCCTGAAGTCCTGCTAAGTAATTAGAATAAGAGGTCACACAGTGTGGATCTTACCAACTGGTGGAGGCCGAGACAGGTATTAGAATAATTTGGGCAGCAGGGGCTGGGGCTGCGGAGGGAATAGAGAATGGGATGCTTCATGGAACAGACTTGTAGTTTCACACGGTCAGGTCTAGAGGTGGATGAGACAGTGCCTGCGCACTGAGGGTGAGTGTTTTGTTGTTGCGGACTGTACCCTTACATGTGGTGAAGTTGTAATTTTTCATTTTTGAGACAAGGTCTCACTGTGCAGTTCAGAACTGACTCTGTGCCCAGGCTGGCCTCAAACTCACAGCAATCCTCCTGCCACAGCCTCCCGACTGCTGGGATGACTGGTCTGAGCCAATTTGCCTGGCTAAGTTGTAAATTTTGTTATATATGTTTTACAATAGAACTGAACTTTTCTGGACTCAAAAGTACCCTGCATCCTTCTGAGAGCATCTCCTCTCCCTGTGTCTTTGCCAGGGAGGGGCAGAGGCCCTCGTGGCTGCCGCCCTCCGCCAGGTCCATAGGGTTAGAAACAGGCTCTTGGTTCCAGAAGGCTCATTGTAACATCAGCTGGGGGTGGAGTGCTGGGGTACTGAGGTTCTGAGGGCTTTTCAGAACCGGGGGTGGGGCCTAGGTATACCTCCTGCAGCTTGGGGGGTTGACCCTATGAGCCCCAAAATCTTCAGATGAGGCAGGAACTTTCGAGCTGTGTGGTGCGCTGCTTGGGGATCGCAGGTGTTCCTCCTTTCTGTAACGTAGTCAGGGAGTCAGTGCATCTGGCGTGGTCATCCTGAAAGAGTGGGGCCTGGGGATAGTCTGCGTTTCTTTAGTGCCCTCCAGCAGAGGCCGGTTGTTCTTCATAGCACACACCTGTGGGTGCCCATTGCCAGCCCTCCTCCACCCATGGCTTTTCTTCTGCTCACTGACTGGCTGCACATAGGAGCCCCTCCTGGGGTTTGGTTAGTTTGCAAGCATGGCACAGAGGACACAGATGGGGAGAAGCCTGGGGCGTGTTGAAGGGGCAAGAGCTTCCACGGGCTCCCTGGGCACTGTCCTCCAGGAATAGCCACATGGCCCCCAGCAGGGAGCTCTTTGACCCTTCCTTTTGGGTTTTGTGAGAGCTCATTAAGTAGTCCGGAGGGACACTGTCCTGCCCGCCGATCCCTGGAGGTTGGGGTGGGACTCAGAGTCCCCTCCCTCTTGTCCTGCCTTGGTTCTTTTCTGTGGCACAGCCCTTCTGAAGCTAGCTTGGGGCTGCCTCAGCGTGCGTAGGACCTGAACGCCCCCAAGACTCTCGAGATTCTAGGAGACAGGAGATGCAGTGCACAACATCACGAGGAAAAACCAGTTCCTAGATCCTCACTATAGCTAAAGAGTTACTTTCTTTTTGTGACGTTTCCTTTAGGTATCCTTTGGTATCATGGCACACTGAGCCTCCTTGTATTCGACCCTTAAAACACTCCTGAAGTCCCAGGGACGTTGGTTTGTGGACACTATAAGAACGGGCTTCTTCTCATCTGTGAACCACGGCTGTGTGGATGGGCTGGCAGCTGCGGTGAGTGAGGGTGGAGTTCTGGAAGGACTGTGGAGGTGGAATGGGACAGGCTTGAGAAGTAGCACGCTGATCCACAGGGGTGATGGTGAGGATCCATGGCGGCTTTGGGAGACCCTGCCTGGTTCTAGGCCTGTCACTTGCTCCTCAGGATAGTCTTGAGTCCCAAGGGGTTGCTGGGATGTCCAGGCAAGCAGGTCTCTGCCCCCCTGGGGTTGGCTTTCATCACCCTCTGGGAGAGCTGGGCACAGCTAGGCACAGGTACTTTAACCCAGGCTGAGGAGAGGGACTGTGGCAGTGGATGCTGAGCCTTGGAGTGAGCCGGGCTCCCTATTTGTGCTAGGACTGAAGCTGGGTGCCTGGGGGGACGAAGTGGAGCTCAGCAGTAGGAGAGGAGACAATGAGTGCAGGGCGTGGGTGCTGCTGGCCCTGGCTCCGTTCTTGTTCTCAGTGGCAGCTGGCGGGAGGAGGCCCTGCTAGACTCACACCCTCCAGGGCCTTGGAGCCTGCGGGGCAGTGTGCGCCCTGGGGGCTGTGGCCTGGCCTGTCTCCACGGAGCTGCTTCCTGGGGTTGATTTGTGCTTCTAATTAAGGATGATTTTATATTTATATCGTGTGTTTTTGTCTCAAGTTTGTGGTAGAAGCGTTGTGGCTGAGTATAGACAACACATAGCAGACACATTCTACCCTGTCTTCTTCATGCACAGCCAGGGACTAAGTGATGAGCATGGCCCTTTCTTTCATGAGCTTGTGACCTTCACAGAACAGAACCTAGTAGGGTATGGTGGATTCTGAAATTCATAGGGGTTGTGTCCCTAGAGCACCAGGGGATTCTGAAAATTCATGAATTTCTAATATGGTCAGGAAAAAAAATGCCTATTTTTGTAGTTTAAACCTAAATAATGCTGCGTCTCCCACAGTTATAGAATTTAATTGGATAAAGTCCTGTGTTAACAAAACCTTAAGAAGGTGCATGGTGTTTTGGCGGCACCGTAGGGACCTTAGGGCTTTAGGAGGAATAAAACAGAGAACATTAGAGACAGCTACATGTGGTACAGTGCCCTGCTAGGATGCGGGGTGCAGGGGCATCCACTGAGATGGGCCAGAGGGCAGCAGCCAATCGGCAGCCGGGAGAACTAAACAACACTCTTGGATTGGCTGCTTGCAACTACAAAAAAAAAAAAAAAAAAAAAAAAAAAAATTGCAGAAGCTATTCACAGTTTCTGTGAATTTGCAGGGAGTTTCTGCAAATTATTAGTGGGGTTCCAAGGAAAAGTCTGCAGATGACAAGCTTCGAACTCTGACTGTGCTGTGAACTCTGCTTTGAACTGTGACTTTGTATACATGTCAGCAAGTTCCAGCAAGTAAAAGTTTCTGAGTTCAGAGTGACAGGTGACCAGCCATGATGCTGGATAGGGAGGGTAGAAAGATCTTGTCTTGAGTCACAGGTCCTTGGATGGGAAGGATGGGGAGTGGGAAGGAAGCTGGGAAGCATCTTCTGGCATTGGTCCCAGCATGTGCAAAGGTCCAGTGGCAGAGGTAGGCAGGCAGCATTGTGGTCTGAGGAACTTAGAGGAGGCCTGGTGTCAGGAAGTGCAGCCTGGTATGTGTAGGTGGGAGTTAGATGTGTATGCACTCAGCCAGGAGTGTAGAGAGGCCTGAGAGCCACCATGTGAACTGGGGTTCAGGCGGCACAAGAATGTGGCCATGTTGGCTCTGTTCAGGTTAGATATGGGTTCTTCACCAAGGCTTTGGCTACCATGGTCAGGGGACCTGTCACTGAAGGCCTTGAGGCCCAGGCTGGTGTCTGGGCTTGAGCATGAAGGCTGGGACCCTTGGCTGTGCTGTGCTGGCTCTGGTTGCCATGTTTGGGCACCCGTCTCTGTGTTGGCTCCTGGGCCTCCTGAGGCTAGATGTCGACTCTCATCTGCCTCTCGCCGCGCTCTGCGCTGCTGCTGCTCCTCAGGGATGCAGGGTTAATGAGACTCTGCAGTGGGAGCACAGGCGCTTTGCATGTCCTGGGGGACCCCAGGTGGGCTCTGCCTGGAGGGCTGGGTCTCCCACCCCTGCAGGCACACCCACAGGGTGAGGGCTCTTCCAGACCCTGAGGGAGGCAGTGTTCTTGGCTGTCTGGCCTTACCGTCTCCATCACCACCACTCAGCTATGCAGTGCTCATAAAAGCAGCCACAGACGGTGTGTTCTGGACATGGCTGTTCCCTAGAAAAACTGTTTACCAAACAGGCAGCAGGGAAGTGCACATGGCTCCATGTTAGGAAACAAACTGCTGCTTGGTGCAGGGTGTATGCCTGGCTTTCTGAGGCTGGGGGTCTGTCCCCATGTGCCTGCCCAGAAAAATAGTTTTGGTTTTCTCAGTCAGGATTGCAGCAGCAATGATCCTCCTGCTTCAGCCTTGTAAGTACTGGGATTATAGGTGTGTGCCCCCACGCTTGCTCAGAAATCTGAGTTTGGCCCAAACGAATCCTTGGGGCAGGAAGAGCTCCAGTGGCACCTTGCAGTTATCCAGGTCGCCTGTCTCTGTTTGTCCCCACATGGGTTCCTGTTCTCCCTGGGTAGATTCCCCTTGACAGGCTCTGGAGTAGCTGGGTCAGGTGCCCATGAGTAGGGACTTCCAGTCTCTTCAGGCCACGTGGACTTTGGGCCTACCGGGGGCGGGGAGGGGGAGGCAAGCATTGTTATTGGGACTCATCTTGAACCAAGGCTGGCCTAGTATTGCCTTCCTCCCAAGCCTGGACGGGGGCCAAGGTGGTAAATATTTGGGTGCAGACATGATTGACACGTTTTAGTGGTGGCAGCAGCAGCAGCAGCAGCAGCAGTGCAGTGAGAGCAGATCTGCTTGGAAGCAGAGGTGTGCAGCAGCCTGTGTGGCCTGGCCCTTGCCTGACAGCCCCTGAGATGCCGTCCTGTACCCCTGCAGGGCTTCTATGTAGAGGAGGAGCTTTTGGGGTGTCTGGTGTCTGGCTGCGCAGTGAGAGTTTTTGTTTCTGAGACAGGCCCTCACTGTGTTATCCAGGCTGGCCTTAACCTCACTGTGTAGCTCAGGCCCACCTCCAACTCATGGTGACCCTCCTGCCCCAGCCTTCCCAGACCTGGGATGACAAGGGTGCACCTCCATGCCTGGCTGTTGTTTATTCCTCAGCCCCAGGGTAAAGAGAGTCTAATGCAGAGAGAGTAAAAGGGCAGTGAATGACTTGAGTTGCACAGAGCAGAGTGTCCTGATGTTGCACAGGGCGCCATGGCTGCTTCCTCATCAGGCTGTTGGTTCCTGGGATAAGGAGCAGCTTGTCCACCAGTCCATCTAGCGGGTGCTGCATTGTGTGGGTTGTTGAGTGCAGTACCCAGGTACAGGGTCAAAGCCAAACCATAATGATTTATCAGGGGACTTCGAGTGCTCTCCTGAGTGGGTAATTGTATACTTAAGGGTTACTTGATACTGTTTTAAATGTACGGATTGGAAATGAAAACAGTGAAAGCTCTGTGAACCCAGCTAATAGGGATGGATGGCAGACGATGCGTCAGTGGGAAGCCATCACAGTTCACTTTGAGGAAACACTGTTGCCCCTCCTCAGGGTGCTAAGTGGTCCTTCATGAGCTTCCCAAGGAGTACAGAGGGTTGCTACCCAGAGCTCCTCAGCTTGGGCCCTCATTAACTATGGCCCTTTCTGCCCCACCTTCCGATACATGCTGAGGGTCACTGGTCCGCAGGGCCTCAGGGTTCCAGGGGCCTAATGAAGGCGCAAGGCCCTGTCCTTGTGGTCTTTCCTGTAGTCCTGTGGAGGGAGGGCTGATGAAAGGGGCAGGGTGGGCTTTTGTTAGACTTGGAGCTATGGGCATGGCGTAGGGACAGTGATAGAGGTGGAGCCAGTGGCCAGTGTGTGCTGTCCCTCCCTCCTCTTCCTCTGTGGCAGCTTTTGAGGCCATGGACTGCATAAGGTTGGGTGCTTGTTGCCATTCAGGGCGACCTGATTTTTACATGTGGTTTTTTTGTTTGGGGTTCTTTCCCCTCTGCTTGGACCTTCACACCGAGCTGTATCCTTGGCTCTTCTTGTTTGAGACAGTCTCCCTAAGTCATGTCCAGACACCCAGGCTAGCTTGAACTTACAGTCCTTTCACCTCAGTCTCCTAAATAGCTGGGATTACAGGGTGCAGCCGTGCCTGGTGGTGGTTAATGTTTCTAAAGGTCCCTTTCAGTGTTAGATGGACTTCGTTTTTTTCTCCCCAGAGACAGAACCTTGCTCTGTTGCCTGCACTAGCCTTAACCCCAGGGCTCAGGTGTTCCTCCTGCCTCAGCCTCCCAAGTAGCAGTGACAACATGTGCCCATTCTGGCACCCAGCTCCTGGCATCATTGATTTCGAAATACCATAGTGCCTGGGACTTAAAAGGTAAGAGGCCTGTGGAGGTTATGCCTGCGGCGCATAGGAGATGTGGCCAAGGAGGCCAGCATGCCCAGCAGAGGGAGAAAGTTAGGGTCTGGAGAGTGCAGAGCTCAGTGCTGGGTGAGCTTTGGGCCAAGGGCTTCTGTCCCTGCAGGGAGGCTGCCTGGCCAGCAGCAGTGTGGGCAGCAGTCGGGGCTCAGGTGTTTGCCATGGGCAGATGCTGGGGTACTTCACCCCCTTCTTTCTGTTTTTTTTAGTTTTAATTTTATTTTTCAGTACTGAGTATTGAACTCAGGGTCTCACGCTTCCCAGGCAGACGCTGTGCTGAGCTATATCCTCAGCCCCTCCCATCTCTTTTTTGAGACAGAATTTCACTGTGTAGCTCTCACTAGCCTTGAACTCACAGCAATTCTCCTGCCTCAGCCTCTGCAGTGTGTATGCCACCATGCTGTGTTTATCGCTAATTAGTAACATTTCTGGTATGCACGTGCTAATTGGGGATGGAATCCACGGCCAGCATGCTGAACTTTTTTTACTGAGCTGTGGTCTTACTAAGTCCCACAGCTTGGGCTCCAGTTCACTAAACCGTTTCTTTTTCTTCTTTTTTTGAGAAAGGGCCTCACCACATAGGCCTTGAATTCAGAGTGATCCAGTTCCTGTCTCAGCCTCCCGAGTGCTGGGACAACAGGTGTGTGCCACTGTGCCCAGCCTGGTGCCGGGCAATGGTTTCAGTCTGAGTAATGGTAAAGATGGGTTTGTCACAAAGTGAGGAACGCTGAAGCGGAGCATGAGAACAGCCCGCTTTCTTGGGCCCATGTGTGGCAGGTTCTGCAGGAAGAGGAGCTTGTGTGTGTCCTGTGGGTGCACGGTCAGCGCCTGGCCTTGTTGGAAACAGCTACTGTACATGTGTATGGACGTGCGTGGACATGCTGTTCATTGAGCTACTTGTCTCGTGTCCGTGTCACACTGCCCTGGTTATTGCAGCTTACAGTCCAGAGGTCCTTCGGGTGTGTCCCTCAAGCGGGTCCCCCTTTTCCATGATCCTGGAGCTGAGCCTTTCCTGGCAGAGTTGAGGTCTGGGCTGTGCTTATGCCAAGTGTGCCCTGTAATACTGAGCTGTGCCCCTGCCTGGCCTCCCCAGAAATTTTGGAATCAGCTTATCATTTCTACAAAACTTGTCTGCTGGGCATTTTTGTTTGTTCATTTGGCTTCTTTGACACAGTGTCCTGCTACGTAGTTCAGAATGACCTTGAAGTTACTGTGTAGCCCTGGCTGGCCTCTAGCTCACTGATCCCCGCCCTGCCTCAGCCTCCCAAGGCCTGGGATGACGCATGCGCCACCATACCCAGCTGTGCTGACTTTTTCTTTTCTTTTGAGATAAAACAAGGGTTTATTATACTTGAGTATGGATGGGTGCTGAGACAGATGAGACCCATATGCTGAATGTTCTTGAATGGGATTGTATTAAACCTGTAGATCAGTTACAGTTTGTGTTTTTAGTAATGGGGATTGAACCCAGGGAGGGTTGGGTTCAATCTCCTGCCTTTTTTATTTTTTGAGATAATTCTCACTGGCTTGCTTAGGCTGGCCTTGAATTTGTAAGCCTCCTGCCTCAGCCTCTCACATAGCTGAGATTGTAGGCGTGGGCCTAGTGTAAAGGTTTGAGTTCTAGTTTGTCAATGCTGTGTAGACCTGCCGCTTCTGGTCCTTGACATAATGATGGAGCTACGTCCCTCTAGATCTGCGGCTGACAGCATGCATGGACTCCACTGCCCGGACAGTGTCATTAAGTAATCTCATGCTGTTTGGCATCAGTTACTTACCTTCATGGAGGTGCTGCTGCCCTGTCGTGAGGCCGGGCAGGACCACATACAGCTGCCGAATGAAGTCCCAGTTTAGAACTGGAAGGCTACATTCTGTGGACTGTGGTGGGCTCAGACACAAGTCAGGCCTCAGTCGGGGCTGTCCCGCTGAACTCTGAACTCTGAAGGCAGTCGGGCATGGCAGGCAGAGGGCCTGCTCCCAGTTCCCAGGCCCCAGGCCCCAGGCCCCAGGGCCTGCACAGTGCAGCCTGAGGAGCTGGACGTGCTGTGTCCCAGAGTGTGTGCCGCTGTCCTTGTTTCACAGGTTTTCCTGTGGGAGTGTTTCTCACCACCCATGAGCCGTGAATTGCTGCGAACCCAGTTTAAAAATAAAGGTTTCCTATCAGAGTGAGCTCCTGGTAGTCATGTGGGAGCAAAGAGTGACGGCAGAGCTGGTGTGGACGCTCTTCAGTCTGGGACCTGAAACCTGAAGGGGCAGTGGAATCTGGGGCCATCCCCACTCTGTGACCTTGAGGGCAGTGTTTACCACTTCTTCCTTTGCTGCTGGAGACTGCACTTGGGGCCTTGTGCATTCACTTCCTCCACCACAGGCTCTCCCCAGTCCGCCAAGTCACCCAGCCTAGTTCTTCTGTGTGGACAGTGGGTTGCCCCTCCTGCCTGGTGACTGTGTACCCTGTGACAACAAGGACCCCTCAGACCTGGGTGAAGTCTGCCACCCCCAGGCCGGGTGCCTTGTGTCACTGAAAGCCACAACTGCCTGGAGCTGGGGCAAGGGAGGTGGTGGGAGAGGAAACGGAGAGAAGGCCTGCATGAGCACTGGGTGCCGTCTTCGTGCTTGCTGATCGTGCAGAGTTCCCGACATCAGCACGTGTGACACTACAGGATCCTGTGACCCTTGAGCTTGTCCAGGCATTCAGATACACGGTGCTGTCTGCTGAGACAGGCGCATGGGATGCACCCTGTAGCTGCTGCTTGGAGCGGGGGCTGGGGCAGTGATTAGCACCAGTACAGTTGGAACAGCACTCGAATGAGGCAGCTCTGGTTTAGCCTTGAAGGCGGCAGGGCCCTGTCTCCAGCCTGATGTTGTGGTAGTGCCCTCTCATCTCTGGGACTGGCTGGCAGTGCGTGCCACTCATCCCTGTCTGGGCTGGTGCCTCACATTGCCGGACATCATTGGGGATCTCGGCAAAGGTGAACCTGGGGAAAACTGGAATCCGTTCCTGCAGGGGTAGGAGACTTGGAAACCGAAAGTATGCACTAGACCCTGCTTCCTCAGAGACTCAGCGTGTTTCTCTGTCCTTCAGTTTAGGTTGGTGTGTGCATTGCCTTTTGAGTAGCTGCAGCCACAGCCTGCTGCTAGGATCCACGGGTCCTGGATCCAGAGCAGGTGAGCGGAATGAAGAGCCCTGACTTAGCCTGGTACTACAGGCTGGGAGCCATGTGGACACCTCACTGAGTGCTGCTTCAGAAGCTGGCAGCCATCTTTGGAGAGGACAGGGAGGCAGGACCCTTTTGGGACCCATGCTGTCTGCTCAGATCACCTCTGAGGCCGAGGGCTCAGGCATCTTGTTGGCCTCCTGTTTGAAAGCTGGGGCAGAATATTGTGGGCCTGGTCTCTGTGGATCAGTGGGAGAAGGCCGGTGGCTGTGGCCCTTGTCTCCAGCTATACTGTGATTTCTCAGCGCCCCCTGAGAACTTTAAAGCTTTAGTTGCTTGCAGCCCAGGGCTCTGTGCTGCACTGGTGCTAGAAGTGGGTCCTGCTCTACTGGAGCAGGCTGAGCTGCCTGCTCCACACGGAGCTTGCGCTTGAGGACTCTGCCGGGAGCTGTGCCACCCAGGAAAGCCTATACGGCCTTGTCCTATTACCATCTCCCTAGAGAAGACTGTAGAGCAGGGAGATGTCTTGATTCCTTTTGGGGTCCCCCTCTGCTCTTGCATGCTGTGATGCACACGGCCTGGTCCAAGCACTTGTCCCTGCTCCGATGGTGTCCTCTGGACTGAGGCTGCTCTGCCTGCTATGCCGTGCACAGTGCTGACCAGGGGTGACTCCCTTCTGTGAGTGGAAGGCTTGGCCATGTGACCTACAGTCAGGAAGACGGTCCACTGTGTTCTACCAATAAAACCAAACTTTTCTACTGTTTAAAAAGTTTTTTGTGTGTGGGGGATTCAATTTGCATATTTTACAGTACACCCACTTTAAGGGTGTGTTTTCAGCAGTTGATTTGGAATGTTTGAGAGTTGTTACACCATTGCCACTGTAATTCCAGACAGTCTGACCACCCAAAGGAACTGCGTACTTGTCAGCACCCATCCCTGCCTGGCACCTGGTGACTGCTTGTCCACTCTCATCTCAGGGGCTGCCTCTCTGAACGGCTGGCATTGAGCTCATGGCCTCTTCTGTGCATTCGAAGTGTGACAGCATTAGTGCTGCGTTCTTCAGATTGAGTGGTAATTCCAGTGTGTGGCTGGGACCCAGTCTGCTCCCCGTTCTCTGGTGGATGCACATTTGGGCTGTGGCTGTTTTCTGGCTGGCATGAGTGGTGCAGCTGTAGTACCTACCCCCAAGATTTTGTCGGATACTTGTGTTCCGTTTTTCTGGGCATGTTCGAGAATGGATGTACTGGCTGTAGCTTAGCTCTGTGTTAAACATTTGCTTCACCCCTCAGATTGTTGTCCTTTGCAGTTGCACGATGGCATATTCCTGTGGCCTTGCACGACTCGACAGCTCTTCAGAGAAAGGACAGACTCATGGTCCCTCCAGTTTGCAAGAATCGGGAGTCTCTTCACTGTCATCCCAGGGCGCCAGGCATTGCCAACAGAGGAGCAGCCAGGGCTACTGGTGTCCACAAAGCCCAACCCTTGCGGAGTGGAAGCAGTCCTAGCCCTGGGAAGGAGTGACTGTCCCCCTTGTGCAGCCTGGGCAGGGGCTAGCACACGGCCCATGGCTGCAAAGCTGGCAGCAGTGCTTTGACAGCTTTCAAGTGCTCAGTCTGAGCCCCAAGTCCTGGCAGAGGGAGCGAGTGGAGCAGACAGTGACAGGGACAGCTGAAACAGCCACAGCACACAGGCAGAGCCGCCCGTGAGCAGTTATTTCTGCGGCTGTGTACGTGTGGCAGCTGTGTGCTTTCCGTGTTGTACAGGTCAGCCTAGCCCGTAAATCTGTTTTAGGTTTGCACCATAGAA